ATTTATTTTTCAATTTTCATGATTGAAAGTGGGTATCGTTTTACAAAGTGAACAGCATAAAAAACAAACTTCTTTTTACACTGGCTTCGTAAGTTTTTATTAAAACAGTGGAGAAAAAACATCTAACATTGAACTTGTAACTTGTCTTACAATACATCTTGTAAAGAACAAGCAAGGTATTTTGCTAACTGCAAAGAAACTTCGTGAAAAAAAAAAAAAAAGTCATTATTCTTGAAAATTTTATTTGGAAATGTCACAAGATTTTAGTTTGTCTTTTTGATATTCCATTCATGATCTTCATGTTTTTTGTAATTCAAATTTAACGAGTCAAAGACGAGGGAATAAAAAAATGCTGACATTTTTTAAAATGATTGTATTTAACAGAAAAGGACTAACTAAAAATTCCTTCTGGACCAGTCTGAAAGAATGATCCCAAGAGGAATTTACTGACGCAGGTGATGACGTCAAAATAAATGTGCTTTTTCGTATATTTTTTTTTTTTTTTTTTTTAAAACCAAGATTGCAATCATGGTCCCTTGTGTTCAGAAACAAAAATGAGCTTTTAGAACTGAACTAAAAATGTTTATAACAAATAAAAGTTATTTTAACATTAATTTGCAATGAAATAAAAAATAAATAAATAAATAAAAAAGCAGTTGGAATCATGCTCTTCTTGCGATCTCAGTTAAAAATAAAGATACGATCAAATTAAAAAAAAAAAACAGAAAACATCTGTGACGAAAGTGGCGTCAGCATATGTGCCACAACGTTTCACTTGGGACCATTTTTAACCAGTATCCAAAAAATACTGGTTATTAATATTAGCATTAACCAAAACAAAAGTCCTCTACTTTCAACATCAGTGTGTTTGTATGGTTTCTAAAAATAATTAAAAAAAAATTTAAATGACATTTTTAATTTTGTTTACCAACGGCATAAAAACTGGCAAAAAAAGTTTTGGTTAAAAATAAATGAATAGTATAAAAAAAAAAAAAAAAAAAAAAAAAAATGAATAAAAATGTACACGTGTTTTGTTTTTGTTTTGGTTGGGGTACTTTAACCTTTCTACTTCTCCCGCCACCATAGAAATACAATGACATCAGCAGAGATGACAATGACATTCACGTTGTCATCTACATAACTGAATGGGAATATTAGATAAACTTTTGAGTTTTAAAAATAAAACCGAACGTGATAAAAATATAAACGTGGAAAACAAACTTTCCGGCGAAAAATAATGTGGTCGATCAAATGCGGTATGTAAATAAAAAATCGTTCTACATCTGGCAAAAGACAAGAAAAAAACTACCCTCTCCTCTGACTACGCAATTATGATTAAAAAAAATAAAATAAAAATAATAATACTATTCATAACCACAATACGTTCAACACTCGTACTGCACTATACAGACCCACCCTAAACATTTTTGTCAATCACTCAATGCACTTTATAAAAACAAATAAACACAAATTTTAAGACACGCCGTTATTTAGCTTAGCTTGACACACACGAGGCCCTCCTATGGTATGGTACTATGGTACATAGCAAGTAACTCGTTCATCTGCTAGCTTGTCGAACCAATAAAGCATTTCACAACTAAAACGGTAACCATTCACTTTTTTTTACTTTTAAGTAAAAAACTTTATTCGCCTTTTTAACCAAAAGCCTTGACGGTTTAGAATTGTTAACCGAGATTGATACAAGCGTTTTTTGTTTTTTTGTTGTTGTTGTTTTTAGTACTGTTAATGACGCTAGTTTGAATTTGATTTACTACAGACGGGAACTACACCACTAATGTAGGAGTTAAAAATAATTTCATTTGATGTTTTGATTAATATTTTCCGAGTAATGGAAAAATGGAAGTAATAAATTAAACAAGTAACACATTTTCACTTTTCAAATTAAAACTTAAGACAATTTTGAAATTGTAAGCAAGATAACCACCTATCCTGGGCCAAAGCAGCATTTAAAACTAAAACTAAAAGAAAAGAGACTAAAAAAAAGAATTTAAGTGGTTTTCATTTTAAAACAAAGCATGTCAACTTAAAAAAAAAAAAAAAAAATAGCAATGAACAAAAAAAACCTAAGTTTTTTTTTTTTTTTTTTCTTTTCATAAAAGAGGGTTTGGGGATAGGTTGTTTCCATGCTAGCTAGTAAAATCGATTATCAAAACTACAAAACAGGTTTATTTGTTTGTTTGTACACATTTGAAGGAAAACAATCCAGCCCACTCATTAAACGATTCAATAATAGTACTAATTTTTCTGTACATAGCATCCCAATAAAAAAAAAAAACAACTTAAATTGAAGATAAAAAAAAGATGAAATTTTAGCTATTATTACAAGAAATCCATCATTTGTTTTTCAGTGTTCATATCGACCATCCCGAATGGCGAGAGGGAACGAAAGAAATGGGATTGGGTTTAGAATGAAATGATGTGGGCGATACGAGGGTGATACCGGATAAAAATAGTATACACTTGGATTCTCTCCGTTGATGGAACCGTTCGAAAAATCAGGCAGCAAATGAGAAAGGAGTGTATATCTTTACAAGGCTAGGGTATGAAATGGAAGAGACACTCGATACACACAAATGCGTTTATGGATTTTTAGAGATACAATTCCGTTTTTTTTTTTTTTAACGATAACAAATAAGCTATGTTACTGTTTCACTAAAAAAAAAAAAAAAAAAAAAAAACCAGTAATTTTTTTTTTGTTTTTCTTTTATTTAAAATCGTTATTTTAGCAATTTATTTTAATTGAAAAATAAACTAGTTAATAATTAACTACTTACTGTTATCAAATATTCCCAAACAATACAGTTGAATAAAAGAAACTCTACAATACATAGAACTTAACTGACGTGACGCTGCTTTTTACCATTGACAGAAATAAAATAAAAAAAAAAAAATTTTAAAACCAAACAGTCGAGTAATGTTATTTTTCGTATTATTTCTTGTCGGTGGTACGATAAAAAAAAAAAAAAAAAAAAGCGAATAACATCGAGTACAACAGGATCGCAATATTTTAGGATTTACATGTGCACTGATGAAACACGGGCATATATGCCAATATAAATAAACTTCAAGTTACTTTTCCTTTCGAGACATTTGTTGAGTGAGAGGAAACAAACGAAAGGATCGACAGGACTGGTTGTGTGTAGAGACAAGAGACTCTAAGAGGTAGAAATAATTATGAACGAGATGAACACTCAAAAATCCGAGAGAAAAGGGAACATGGATGTGATCATTGTTATGACGTTATAAAAATATTGAAAAATTCTAAGTCAACAATAATAAAAAAAAGAAAAGCTTAACCAGCCGGGGAAGGTGTGGGTACTACTACTAATAATAAAAACAAACAAAGGTTGAAGGAGCAGATAAGAGATGGATATTTTCAAGTGGAATTTAATTTCTTTAATAAAGAAAAAACTCATAGTCACCGTGTTTGGTGTTTATTTTTCTTGAGTAGGTCTATCGTGAATTAGAATTTAGTTTCAAATTTGAAAACCTTAGAACTAAAGCTGCATTCATTGAGGAAATTAAAGACAACACAGCCGGGTTAAAAATAAAATAAAAGTAAGTAAATATAAAAAATAAGTGAATAAAACTTAAAAAAAAAAAAAAGGACCGACAACAAATCACCTTGTACTGGACTAAACACATTTTTTAAAAATCATTTTCATAAAATTAGTCGATAGGCATTTCAAATTAATAATAATTTACTTTTAATTTACACTGTAAATTTTGACTTGTTGAATGATAGAGAACTATAGTGTAAATAAAAAAATTATAGAATCATTCAAGTCAACATTTTTCTAACAAGTGTTTGTTGCAAATATTTTTTAAAATATAAAAAATAAAGGCCTTTTTACTTTAGCAATTTAAAACATGTTTTTTCCATAAGTAACTAATAAATTTGACAAGTTACTTTTTAATAGTTGAAAATATTGTATTATGGTTTGCATTTATTATTTTTTTTGATTCGTATCAGTAACTTATTAGTTTTTATTGACATTCAGAACAAAGCGTGAAGTGAAGAATAATTTTGCATTACAAAAATTACAATCTCAAAGTTTTTTGAAACTTAATGTAACTTTTTCGCCCCTGTGAAGTAGTTTCTGTTTATATCAGAAATCAATGAAGCAACAAATTGTACATTAAAGTTAGTAGAGAAACCGTTAAAAATAAAAAAGCAGCAACAAACAGGTATATTTTTATTTAAGAAAAAGAAAAACTTGGTTTTTTCCTCCCTGAACATTGAACAGTTTGAAGGGCCCAAGACAAAATAAGTAAATGAAAATCAAAGTATAGTTCTTTACTTTTTCAAATAAATATTTAAATTAAAATTAACAAAAAAAAAAAAAAAAAATGGAAAAAGAAAGCTAAAAAATAGAAAAAAAAGTGCTTTCAGTACCGGGAAGTTTGTTATATCACCTTTTAAAACGTACTTATTACACATACAATAAATAAAAATCTATCGATACCTTAAATATGAAAAACAAATAAAGTGAAGCTAATTGATCTGTCAAGTTGAAAAGTTTTCATTTTTCAGATTGCAGAGAAACAAAGATGAGATTTAGAGAATCTACAATTCCTGACAGACTTTGAACATAAAAATAAAATCTCGTTGTTCATGGATAACTGAAAAACAGGACATCCAGACAGACTTAAATTTAATTTCATATTTATCAGTGAAAATAAAATTAAACTTATTTTTCAACATGAATTTAAATTCCGTATATTTATCTTTAAAATGCGTTTTTAGAAATAAAAATATATATTTTTGCAAATTATCCCGACACAAACTTTTTACTAAGTTTGACTTCTGCACCTTTTTTTCTTCGTCTAAATCGCAATATTTACAAACTTTATAATTAGTTGACTCTTAATATTTTGCCCGTCCAACAGAAGAGGACAGGGGTCACCTCACCATTAACCCAATTATTAAATTAAAATAACCCACAGATAGGATATTCGTATGAATAAAAATAACTTACCTGCTGTGCAACCGGCTCTAGAATGCCTTCTATGGTCTTAGTATGAAAGACCGGCATTTTTCAGCTATTAAAAATGTATTCTCTGTCGTTTTGGGAAGTTATTAGCTTCTTTTAAAGTCCCGTATTAAGAGTTAAAGGGAAGAAGAAATTCTAAGTGAGATATCCAAGACGGTACAGAAGTCCAAATAATAAATATAAGACGATAATAAAACGGGATGACCACTTGCGGTTCTTTATATGTTTGGGCCTCCTCCTATCTGTTGATTTCACAGTACACAGCCTCGTTGTGACTGCCAAGAGCATTCACTCACACACACACATCACTTTCCTCAATCACTCTCTCCCACCTACTCAGTCGACGAAATACAGTTCTCGCTACTCCAACAAGGTCTAATTAATCATGATTAATAATAATCTCATAAATTTTTGATGTTTTTTTTTCTTGATTTAAAAAAAAAAATCCCTTTTTTATTACCGGATTTAAAGGGTAATTTTATTAGCGTGACGCACTTGTTGCTTAATCTGAATTGAGGGTCAGCAAATTTTTTTAGTTTTTTTTTTTAGGGAATTTTTTAAAATGATTTTGTGGCGATGAAATATGAGGTTTTCCTTCCTTTTCGTTTACGGCTTCTGCGTTGATGGAAGTTTTATTTTATTTTTTAACCAGTGTGCACCAGTCAAAAATTTATTGAACAAAAAATATCTTGCATACTTTTCCTTTGAGGTACGCTATCATTCAAAAAACATTTGAAGTTTTTTCTTTGCTTTTTAACAATTCAGTCGGCTCTATGACAGCAGACCGAGATAAAAACTGGTCGATTTTTTTTTAAGTTTTTTTTTTTTTTTTTTTTAGTCCAGCACAAGGGCAAAAAAAAAATGATAATAGGATTTTCATTTTAATTTTTAAGGAGGGCCAACTTGGCTGCTTGGAAAAGTCAAATTATAAATTTTTTTTTTTTATTTTATTTTTTTTATCTGGATTCAAACACTGAATGATTGAGAACGAAGTAAAACTACTTTTTTTTAGGTACCAAAGCTAGTCCGGGCCGGGGTGTCTGACTTCTTTCTTTAGCATTGAATGATTGAACTTTTGATTATATTACAACAGTGGCTGCTTTAGCACTTTATTTTATTTATTTATTTATTTTTGTAAAACTGTGACATGATGGGTAGGGTTTAAAAGTTTATTAAGCAAATGCATCCTCAAAACTTTCAGGTTTTTGTTTTTAGCTAGGTGTGAACGAAGCAAAATTAACCAAATTCATTTCTGAGGTTGGGGGAGTGCAGTACCAAGCTACATCGCCCCATTGTACTAGGGAGCGGATCAAAGTCAAGTACTGATGTCTGATGCACCCACTTTCAAAAAAAGTTAGTTGTGACCTTGAATCAAATGTATAAATATTTCTTTATAGTTGTTTAAAAAAAAAAAAAAAAAGTACACACAAGATATCGAAAAAGGGAGGAACAGACCACCCCCATACACACACAAAAACAGATTTCCACAATGTTTTCTAGTAATATTCAGTATTACAAGTCATTAAGTACTGAACATTTTGTTTGAATCGGATAATTCTGATTTTTGACAAATATTTTAAAAAAACAGGTGGGGTAGCGACTTTTTGCTTTCATTAACAAAAAAAAAAAAAAAAAAGTATTTTTGGCGCTATTACACTCCCCCCACCGCCATGTTTTTCCCGCGACAATGGATCAAGTTTTGTGACAATTAGATGCCAGAAGTTGAAAAAAGGCGAATCACCAAACCTATGAGCCCACATAAATTCCTCCAGGTTCTCAGAAATCACCCTCCTGTTGGTGGGGCCATTTATGGCCTTAAATTTAGCCTGGGCACGCTGCCACATTGCTTCTTCAACTCGATTCGTAGTGACTCCAGTATTGGGATTCACAAACAAAGTTCAGTGAGGTTGACAATGACTCAACAATGTAATGGGGGTGCGAAAGTAATAGCGCTGCATTTTTTGTGGTACTTAATTTTTAAACAAACTTGATTAAATAAATAAATTCAACCGGCAAGGTCTGTCGGTTTATTTTTACTTTATTCTTCCAATTTTCAAATAAACTGTGGCTAGTTTCAAATTTGAAATGTAATATTTTTAAAAAAAATGCAATGATGTAGCTAACAAAAAAAAAACAAAAAAAAAACAAAAACAAAGAAATTCTTGTTTACGAGAGTTCCTGATTATGGCCAAGACGGCCGAAAGTACAAAAACAAAAGTAAAACCAAGTACTTTGAACAGTTTATTCACAATCTTCATCCGAATGTGCAACAACTTATTCGAAATTTAATTCAGTTTGTTCGTTGAAAGTCAGCATCGCTTTAAGCGTGAAACTGCAGTCAACAGTGTTCATGTTTTACTTTTTTTTGCGCGTGTGTACAAGAACTCTCCCCTACACAGAAGAAATTTTAAACAGATATTCATTGCTGAGGGTTGAGTATATAATGGAAATTGTTACGGTTTCGAATTCAAAGTTGTCCTTCTACTTGACTGGTTGCCAACAACGGCAAGGGAGACTAGTCTATTCTATTTATAATTTAAATTATTTAATCCTTAGCGAAAGGGAGAAGAAATAGATTCATACTTTATCCAAGGGTATTTGCGCGTTAATAATGAACTCGACTGGAATTCGAATAAAAAAAAACTCTCCAATTTCTCATATCAAGATGTTATCCATTAAAAATATATCCATAAATAAAATAACCAGACACGATGGCGAAAGGTTCTCGGCCTGATCAGATTTAAGAAGCGCTTTTAAAATATGTTGTTTTTTTTGTTTGTTTGTTTTGTTTTGTTTTTTATAGCCATTTGGCCAGAAGAGTAAGTATTCTACTTTCAAACTTAAATATTTTTTTATTTTTTTAGGCGACTTGCTTAACTGAACCCCGCCTTAGGTTAAGAAGAAGTTCAGAAAACATTTCATTTCACTAGTTTTAATTTCTTTTTTTGTAACGTGTTTTAAAAAAAAATAACGTTAACAACCATGATAAAATTAGAAAATTAAATTCTGCAACGTTAGTTTTAAAAGTAAAAAATAGTTTTCACATCAGAGGAAATAAGGCTAAGATCACTAATTGCGAATTTTACGAACACACGAATAAAGAAAGGTGTCTCTGGGTAAAACTTGACTACGTTAGGGTCTAACTAAAACTGATAAAGCAAATGTGGTAACGAGACTCAACAAGCCAGCACATGCGAGAGAAACTAGTTACTAGGACATAGGTTTTCTTCAGTTTCACATATTAATGGTGAATAAATGAAATAAATTAGACAACTGAGCTATCCGATATGCCGAGCTGATGGGTAATGGATTTGAATTCTTCTTACTTATCTGAACAAACGTTTTCCAAGTCATTATATCATCTTATTGGAATATTTAGATATTTTTTTTTCACCTTCCGTATGTATAGCAGTTCTGGTGAGCCAGTTCATTCTGAAGACGACTTGTATAGTGAGTTCGATCCTTACTGAGTACCTCATCTTGCGCCAGACAACGCTAGTCACAAGGAGAAATAAAATGCAATTCTTCACGGTAATAATAGTTAAAGAAAAACTTGCGTTGGATTGTCGTGTCCACTAAAATATCAACTACAATATTTATAAACCAATCACACTCAAGAAAACACACCTTAAAACTGAAAACACACCAATAAAATCATAGATTACAAATCAGAATGTTTGTTGTATTAGTCATCATCATTTTTAGGTAGATACCGACCAAATATCGTACGGGCGTAGTAGAAGACATACCACGTGACTTCTTAGGGCCAATTAGGAATAAATAAATAATTTAATTCTGGAGCCGATATTGTTCAGAAAAAAAGTGTATAAAAACATACGAAATCCGTTCCCAAAACAATATACACGCGGCTGCCGATATTCAGTTACCCCCCCCCCCCACGAGGGCGTCATGTGGCACAAGGCCGGTTTAACATAGGATCTCCGAGCCCGTGGGCTCGGCCAAAAATATGCCCATTGAACCCGTATAAACGGGTTCAGGGCCGGTTTAACTCCCCGAAAGACACTCCGCCCTTCGGCGTAGCCCCCCAGGCAGAGAGTCCAACCGAACAGCCGGTCAAGACTTGAACGACTGACTGACTGCCACCAAACTACACCCACCTCTCGCTGATGACCTTCATGACCTCATGTTAAAAACGACAGCGTTGACAAACACCAGACCACGGCAACACCGCCAACAGTAAGAAACAATTCGTATCCGTTTTTACTATCACGCACACACATGTTGACTTTTTCATACAAACACACATATCACAACATTTTATTGTTTCTCACACACATACACAAAGACAGTTTATATTTTATTTCAGAACTTTATCAACCCAAACAAAAGACATTACTTTCCAATCTATTATCAACTGTTTGTATTCTTATCGTTATATTAAATTAATGTTTATTTGTTGAAACTACATTGTCTTTTCTACTGAATTTTATTCCTTCAATGAAAAGCGTTTGATTATTCTAGGCGGCCAAATTACGAGCGACCCTGTAACGATATTTTGTTCATGTATTGAATCCCGACACTCCAAAATTTAACATTCAACGAAAAACCGAGTAGAAGGATTCCTACAGAATCATAAGACGGTGATGTTTTTAGTCAGGGACGAATCAGTCATTGAATTGAGTCCTAAGTAAAGTCTGCGATACAATTTAAGTTTCAAGCCCAGACTTTCAAAATAGCCGACTTGAAGAAAAATGTCTTTAGTAACTTGGTTTTAGTTTTCTTTAAGTTTAAGAAACTACCAAAGAATCCTTCTTCAAAATCAAATTTGCTTTTTTGTAGATTTTATTGTTATATTTATGCTCAAATAGGCTAGGCTAAGAAAAAATGCTAAGTGATCAGAGAAATTAATTCGTGGGGCTCAGAAAACGTTATTTAGCGAGGAGAGAAAAACATTTAAACCAGAGTAAAAAGACTGGCATATGGTGTAAAAATATGCGATAAAAAATACATGAAAGATTTTAAAAAATAAATTTACTTGCAGAAATCTACAAAAAAACTTGTAGCATCCCGCTACCACTTTC